CATAACAAGTAGCACTTTGATTACCAAATAAGAAAAACTACAACAAAAAACAACCCTTCAACCTTCTATGACACTCTCGTCTGTGTCTCCCTTGTCACCAGGCCTTGGTGGCCAAACCTCATACATTAGTGCATTTACTGGGCCCAGCACTGGGCAGGTCCCTGGGGATGGGGAGAATGTGGCAGTCAAAGTGGAAGGACCCCAGGCAATAAACATGGAACCACAGCAAATATTTTGGGTGCTGGTTTTGGTTGATTTGTTTCCAGGAGTGAAGGATCTCTCCAAAGGAATTGCAAACTACTTCAAGAAACAACAGGCTATTTTCTAAGTATTCTAGGGTGACGTCCATGAGTTATTCATATTTCTAAATAATTAGCAAAGCATGGTAAAAAGATCATTTTTTTTAATTGATTTTGAGAGTGGGGAAGAACATGTAATGAAAATAGAGCCACAGTTGTCTAATAATTATTCACATCACTAACTACAGACAAGAAGTTTTCTTGCAGACCCTGGGAAGCCAGAGGATGAAACAAGGCTGTAAAAAGATAAGATGCCTTGATGGGTCCATGACTCAGAAAAGGAATACATTTTGAGAACAGACCTAGGACAGGACACGCTTTGACTTGGTTGCTGTGCCCGGACCCTGACCCCTTCCGGGAGTTTTTCTCAGGAACGTTGACCATTCTCCAGTCCCAGGCACGGCCTGAGCTGTTTGTAACATCATAGAAGAGTAGCCACTTTGTTATTGGACTCTGAAGGCCAGACTGCAGACCCTACCCTCCCTTCCCCATGTTACACTTGCAGCTCCCAGCTGCACATAACTATCTTCTCCTTTGTGTCTATATAATCAGCTGTGAGAATAAACAAGTCATCTTTTCTGTCAAAGGACAGTTTAGACAGCTGCCATTTGGGACTGTGTAACTTGGCAGCCACCATGTTGGCCACGTGACTTGCAGCTCCCCTGGAGGCCCCATCTTGAAATGGCAAAGGCCAATCCCTCACTTTGAATTAACTAATGGCAAAAGACTATGTGCCTGAGCTCCAATCAAGAGGGACAGGTCACGTGCATAAGAATTAAAAAGCCAAGTAGACCGCCTGCGCAGTGTGCACGTGCTTCCAGACCATGTGCATGCGCACTCTTTTATTTAGAAGTTGGCTCCCAGTGTGCTTTGTGTTCTACCAGGACCCCTGAATTTTGGGGCTCGCCTTATTTCTTACAATTTGGGGGCATGTACTGAATACTGTTTGTTGTTAAAGGGGGAAATTGGATCCCTCTCCCGAGGAGTTGTGGCGGCATCGGTGAGAAGGGACAGCCATTACCCCTGGGCTGACTATGAGCTCGGGATTGAGAGTCCGCCAGCAACGCATGAAGGCCTCAAGCAAGACCCGTGGCAATCAGGTAACCTCATACATAAACCAAGGTGGGAAATTGGACTGAGTACTACTTTAGTGATTGGGTATTCTCGGAGCTCGGATATGCATGATTGGTATGTGTCTTGGACATAAAGCGAGTGTGGAATTCTGATCTGTGGTTCTGTTCTCCTGCAAGGGAAGCTGCCAGAGAGGGACGAAACAGATCTCGGGGAGTACAAGAAACCTCCTGAGTACATAGTCACAAAGGGCCTGTGGAGGATGGGAAACAGAAATTCTAGGCCTAGGGAATACATTCCCCCAAAATAGAGCATTGGAGAGAATGCTGAGATTCTAGGGAGGGGACAGAAGACAGTGCTGGCAGTTCCTGAACCAGGGACAGAAGACATTGTTCTGCTTTAGTGGTTCTTAATGCAGGTGATTCTGTGGTATAAACTTTTAGTTATTGTGTGCACCTGTATAAGAGTGTTTGTTGATGTTTTGTGTCTCTTTGTTGTTTGTTTAATTTGTTTAAAGATGGGGCAAGTCCTGCTTTGGGGAAACCCAGTTATGTGTGGTGAGGCTGAATACATGACAGAGACTGCAGGAAAGTCCCAGCAGCTGCCAAGAATTTTTTTTTTTTAATTAAATCTTTATTGTTCAGATTATTACATTTGTTCCTCTTTTCCCCCCCCATAACTCCCCTCCTCCCAGTTCCCGCCCCACCCTCCGCCCTCACTGCCCACCCACTGTCCTCATCCATAGGTGCACGATATTTGTCCAGTCTCTTCCCGCATCTCCCACACCCCTTTCCCCCCCAGGAATAGTCAGTCCATTCCCTTTCTATGTCCCTGATTCTGTTATGATCACCAGATTATTTATTCACTTGATTCTTAGATTCACTTGTTGATAGATGCATATTTGTTGTTCATAATTTGTATCTTTACCTTTTTCTTCTTCTTCCTCTTCTTAAAGGATACCTTTCAGCAAAACACAAAGAAGCAAAAAACACCCAACTGGAAAAGCAAAATGAAAAAAGAACCCGAAAATACGAAGATAGTGTAAGGAGCCTCTGGGAAAGCTTCAAGCGTACCAACATCAGAATTATTTCTTTATTTCAGTCAGTGTATGCTTAATTTCTAGTTGGTTCTTTATCATAATTCATATAATCCTGGTTTGGTGGTGATGAACTCCTTTAGCTTTTCCTTATCTGTGAAGCTCTTTATCTGACTTTCCGTTCTGAATGATAGCTTTGCTGGATAAAGTAATCTTGGTTGTAGGTTCTTGGCATTCATCACTTTGAATATTTCTTTTTTTTTTTTAAATATATTTTATTGATTTTTTACAGAGAGGAAGGGAGAGAGATAGAGAGTTAGAAACATCGATGAGAGAGAAACATCAATCAGCTGCCTCCTGCACATCTCCCACTGGGGATATGCCCGCAACCCAGGTACATGCCCTTGACCGGAATCGAACCTGGGACCCTTCAGTCCACAGGCCAACGCTCTATCCACTGAGCCAAACCGGTTTCGGCATCACTTTGAATATTTCTTGCCACTCCCTTCTGGCCTGCAAAGTTTCTGTTGAGAAATCAGCTGACAGTCATATGGGTATTCCCTTGTAGGTAACTGGGTTTCTTTCTCTTGCTGCTTTTAAGATTCTCTCTTTGTCTTTTGCTCTTGGCATTTTAATTATGATGTGTCTTGGTGTGGTCCTCTTTGGATTCCTTTTGTTTGGGGTTCTCTGCGCTTCTTGGACCTGTAAGTCTATTTCTTTCACCAGGTGGGGGAAGTTTTCTGTCATTATTTCTTCAAATAGGTTTTCGATATCTTGGTCTCTCTCATCTTCTGGCACCCCTATAATTCTGATGTTGGTACGCTTGAAGCTGTCCCAGAGGCTCCTTACACTATCTTCGTATTTTCGGGTTCTTTTTTCATTTTGCTTTTCCAGTTGGGTGTTTTTTGCTTCTTTGTGTTTTGAATCTTTGACTTGATTCTTGCGCTCCTCTGGTCTGCTGTTGGGTGTCTGTATAATATTCTTTATTTCAGTCAGTGTATGCTTAATTTCTAGTTGGTTCTTTATCATAACATCGAGGGTCTCATTAGATTTCTTGAGGATCTCACTACATTTATCGGCGGTCTCACCAGTCTTTTCAAGGGCCTTACTAAGTTTATCGGCAGCTTCTAGACAGTTCTTGAGAGACCTTAAAAGTGTGGTTTTGAGCTCTATATCTTCCATTTCTGACATTTGCGTCCTGTTTCTTTGTCTCCGCATTTTTTTTATCTTTTCTTGGTGCACCCCCTAGTGGTCTTTGTGCGCAGTCTTGTAGTTAAGCCTTGATTGTTGTCGGTAATACCAGGGTTGATTTGACCTCCAGGCTAACTGGCTATGAGAGTCAGCTGTGTCTGCAGTGGGAGAGCTTCTGTGCTGGAACTCTAGGGCAGTGCTAATCTAGCCTTTGCCTGAGGCTATCCGGCAAATGGCGCTGCGCAGGGCTTGGGCGGGGCGGGTCCCCGGGGAGGGCCGGAGCGAGCAGTTATGGCTGCTCTCAGTTCCGTCCCTAGGGGCTCTGCCTCTCAGAGTTCCAGCAACCGCTGCAAACCTCGGAGAGAAAGCTGCCTTTGAGTTCTGACCGAAGCCAGACAGTCCCACTTCTCCCGTTTGAGTCTGGGTCCCTAGAGACTCGCCCGGATCTGGAGCTCAGAGTCTGAAACTCCCTCCCGATTGAAAACAACAACCGCGCCCTCCGCCGCCAGCCCGCTCCGCGCGCGCACTCCGCACCTGAGTATTTCACTTCAGCACTGCGCCTCCTCTGAGTCTGGGTATGATATTCTCTTTCCTCCTAGTTGTAGAATTTCCACTCAGCCAGCCTTCCTGTGGTTCTGGATGATGTCTGTTCTGTCCTTTAGTTATATCTCTGAAGTGGTTGTTCGAGGCAGCAATCTCCGGCATTAACCTATGCCGCCATCTTGGTTTCTCCCTGCTGCCAAGAATTTTTTATCTTGGGGACTCTTCCTGCTCTCCCTCTCAGAATGTTAGCCACCAGAAACTCTTTAGCTAGTGAGATTTCTGTCTGTGTGTCTGTAATGTAATGTTGGCTTTCTATCTTTTAGGGACTTTAGTTTGCTCTTCCCTGGTTTATGAATATAGGGACAAAAATTACATAAGAGCTCTTCTTTAAGCTGGAGTCGCGAGTACGCATGCTCTCTCCCAGCCTCCTCGTAGCGTGATGACGCTAGCGTTGGCGTAGTGACGGATGGGTTCGTTCAGTCCCATCCCAGAAGGAAGTCTTGTTCCTGCATGTAAATGATGGGTCATCTTTGGAAAGCCTTCAGGTTGTAGCAGATTCAAACTTAGATAGTAGAGAACTAGATTTTGGGTGTTCTGTGGAAGTTCAAGGGCAGCTGGTAAAAAGTCCATCCAAAAGGCAAAATGTGGAACTGAAGGCAGAAAAAATTGAAGTTGTTGGAAATTGTGTTCCCAAGGATTTCCCTTTAAAATATAAAGACAGACCTCCTCTAGAGTATCTGAGACAATTTCCTCATCTTCGATGTAGAACTAATGCCCTGTGTTCTATACTGAGGGTTCGCAGTGAGGCCACAGCTGCTATTCATTCTTTCTTTAAGGACAGTGGCTTTGTGCATATTCATACTCCAATAATCACATCCAATGACTGTGAGGGGGCTGGAGAACTCTTTCAAGTTGAACCTTCAAGCAAAGCAAAGGTACCTGAAGAGAATTTCTTTGATGTTCCTGCTTTCTTAACTGTCTCGGGACAACTTCACCTAGAAGTGATGTCAGGAGCTTTTACTCAAGTGTTTACCTTTGGTCCAACATTTCGAGCTGAGAATTCTCAGAGCCGGAGACACCTGGCAGAGTTTTATATGGTAGAAGCCGAGATTTCTTTTGTTGAGAGTCTTCAAGATCTCATGCAGGTCATGGAGGGGCTCTTCAAGTCCGCAACAGCGATGGTTCTTGCCAGCTGTCCCGAGGATGTTGCGCTCTGCCACAGGTTCATTGCTCCGGGCCAAAAGGACAGATTAGAACATATGCTAAAAAACAACTTTTTAACCATTTCTTACACGGAAGCCGTGGAGATCTTAAAGCAGGCGTCCCAGAACTTAACCTTCACCCCAGAGTGGGGTGTTGATCTACATACTGAACATGAAAAGTACCTGGTGAAGCACTGTGGCAACATACCAGTCTTTGTCATTAATTATCCATTAGCACTGAAGCCTTTCTATATGAGGGACAATGAAGATGGGCCTCTGCACACAGTTGCTGCTGTTGACCTTCTGGTTCCTGGAGTTGGAGAGCTCTTTGGAGGAAGCCTCCGAGAGGAGCGATACCATTTCTTAGAGCAGCGGCTGGCCAGATCAGGACTGACAGAAGCCTATCAATGGTATCTGGACCGCCGTCGATTTGGATCTGCGCCACATGGAGGTTTTGGGATGGGATTTGAATGCTATCTACAATGCATCTTGGGAATTGACAATATAAAAGATGTCATCCCTTTTCCAAGATTTACTCATTCATGTATTTTGTAACTGGAAGACTGGTTAAGGGAAATCATGCAAGCCAGAGGTGCTGTACACACATGTACCTACAGGAGAACGCATGTTTGGGATTTAGAAGAGGCAGCTGATCGATGTTTCTCTCTCATCGATGTTTCTAACTCTCTATCTCTCTCTCCCTTCCTCTCTGTAAAAAATCAATAGAATATATTTTAAAAAAAAAAGAAAAAAAGAAAAAAAAAAAAGAAGTGAAGAAGTTTTCAAAATGTACTTGTCATACCATAGCATATAACATGAAAAATAAGTGGTCATGATTTTCTTACAAAGTAGAGGCATTTCATAGAAAGATGAACTCTTCTAAAAAGAGGTACTTATAGACTGTAGAATCTCTAATCAATTATGTCAATTACGAAGAAATGAAGAAATTGAACTAGATGGTTTCAAAGGTCCTTTCAAACTCTAAAAAAGGATGAGATAGTGTACTTTTTCTTTAATGATTAGCTCACTGATTTGTGTGACCTTTGAGAAACAACCAGTAACTAAAAATAAAATGTTGTTGGACCTTTTCTTTCTTACCATTAAAAAAAAAAAATTACATAAGAAAATGAGCTATGCAGGCTAGGTTGGGCAACAAGGTTAATGATTCCATGATATTGGGCAGTTCTTGAATGAGAATGAACAGCATTCCAAGGGTGACTTCCAGATCCTGGGGGCATATGACTCCCAGCCAGGTTGATATGTCCTTTCTTGGAACAGAAAGGGCAATCATGGTTAACAGCATAATTAATATTTCCCATAACTATAACTAGTTCCCAATGTTCTGTTTTTCCCCAAAACACTGGGAAGAACAGATCTGTAGAAGTACCCTCTAGCAGAGAAGCGGGGGCACTCCTGTTCTTATAGAGAAATATAAAATAGTAGTTTCACATTGAGTTATCACTCTTACAAAATTGGTCAAGAAAATGTTTTAGGTAATAATTCACTTTAAAATCTTGAAGTTGTTAAGATATAATAAATAGATGTAACTAAAATGAAGGATTTATGATAAAGCTTTTCAGTAATAATTGTAAATATCTATAATAATAAAAGCATAATATGCAAACTGACCTAATGACCAAACAGCAGAACAACCATCTGGACAACCTTCCCGACAATCACACTATGACAAACACTGGCACCAGGCCAGCCAAGGCGGGTGTGATGTGATTGCTTGGGGGCCCTGCCATCGCACCACAATTGCCCCACAGAGGGAGGCCCAGGCCACCCTCTGTGGGACAATCGATGGGGGGCTCTGCGATCAATCACCTCAAAGAGAGAGGCCCAGGCTACCCGGCCAGCAGCATTGTGGCGGGTGAGCAGAGCCTCCCTCTGCTGGGCCATCAGTTGCAGTTCCCCAAAGAGGGAGGCCCAGGCCACCCAGCTAGTGGTGATGCGGTGGGTGGGTGGGGCCTCCCTCTGAGAGGCAATCGATCTGGGGGGGCCATGATCGACTGCGCCACAGAGGGAGGCCCAGGACAGCAAAGCGACTGCACCCCATGCCTGTTGCCCACAGAGGGAGGGGACCAGTGGTGGGGGAGATGGGGTAGCGCCACACAGATGGCAAGCAGTGGCAGCAGTGGGGGTTGGGGCCAGCTGCCAGCAGCCAGGGGAAGAAAAGCCTCGATAGGCCCTGATCGCTGGCCAGGCTGAGGAACCCTACTCATGCACGGATATTGTGTACCAAGACTCTAGTTTTAGTAATAAACATCATTGCCGTTTCCATTTCCTTTTTGATCCAAATGTTATTTAGGACAATTCTTTTTATAAAATATATATATTTATTGATTTCAGAGAGGAAGGGAGAGATAGAAACATAAATGAGAGAATCATGCATTGGTTGCTTCCTTCACACCCCACACTGGGGTTCAAGCTCGCAACCCAGGCATGTGCCCTATCCAGGAATTGAACCGTGACCTCCCAGTTCATAGGTTGACGCTCAACCACTGAGCAGTGCTGGCTGGACAAGGGACAATACTTTAAAAAGATTTTTTAGTAGTTTGATTATGTCTATTCATTGTATATTAAACTCTAGACTTGCGGTACTATCTATATATATAAGGCTAAGTGACTGACCATACAGCCGTCCGACCGACGGACCAACCAGCAGGTACATATGACGTGTACTGGCAATTTAGAAATAAACGTTGACTTGTGCATGCACAATACATATAAAGTTCTCACTTTATATATTGCATGTGTGTTTTAATGTTATAATACTATATTATATATACTATTTTTTTAAAATATATTTTATTGATTTTTTGCAGAGAGGAAGGGAGAGAGATAGAGAGCCAGAAACATCGATGAGAGAGAAACATCAATCAGCTGCCTCCTGCACATCCCCCACTGGGGATGTGCCCGCAACCCAGGCACATGCCCTTGACCGGAATCGAACCTGGGACCCTTCAGTCCGCAGGCCGACGCTCTATCCACTGAGCCAAACTGGTTTCGGCTATATATACTATTTTGGCATGCAATTCTTTGCAGTAATGTTATTACTACACGAATCTTTCTTCTAATTAATATTACTTAAATGTGTATGAATCTGTGCACTGGGTCACTAATTGTAAAATCACCTGTTGAAATTTCTTTTTCTTAAATAGGAAGATCACCTTTACTACCTTGGAGAAAAAACCAGTACATTAACACCCTCTAACCCCTCAAGTTCAAAGGCATCCCCCCCAGACCCTGATCCCCTTCCCATCCCCACACCACACACCACACCCAGAGTGCCCTAAAAGTTTTGTGTTGAGTTCTTAATTTTTGAAATGACATTCTTAATACAAATCTCTTTATTATTTTTTAAATCTTTATTGTTGAAAGTATAGCATAGGTCCTCCTTTCCCCCCATTAACTTATTCCAGCCTGCTCCTGCCACCCCATCCCCCAACCAGGCCCTCACCACCCTGTTGTCTGTGTCCATGGGTTATGAATATACACCTATGAGCTCATTGATTGATCTCTTTCCCCCACCCACACCCCTGCCTTCCCTCTGAGGTTTGATAGTCTGTTCGATGCTTCTATGTCTCTGGGTCTATTTTTGTTCATCAGTTTATGTTGTTCATTAGAGTCCACATATGAGTGAGATCATGTGATACTTATCTTTCTCTGACTGGCTTACATTGGTTAGCATAATGCTCTCCAGATCCATCCATGCTGTTGCCAGTGGTAAGAGTTCTTTCTTTTTTACAGCAGCATAGTATTCCATTGTGTAGATGTACCACTGTTTTTTAACCCACTCATCTGCTGATAGGCAATTGGGCTGTTTCCAAATCTTAGCTATTGTAAATTGTGCTGTATATATTCTTCCTGATTGTGATTCTGATTTCTTGGGATATATTCCTAGAAGTGGGATTACTGGATCAAACAGGAGTTCCATTTTTTGTTTTTTGAGGAAACTCCATACTGTTTTCCACAGTGGCTACACCAGTCTGCATTCCCACCAGTAGTGTACCAGAGTTCCATTTTCTCCACTTCCTTGACAACACTTGTCATTTCCTCTCTATATGAAAGGCTAAGTGACTGACTAACTGTCCGTCCAATCAGCTGGTACATATGATTGCACTGGCAATTTAAAAATAAACATTGACTCATGCATGTGCGATACATATAGAACTTTCCCTTGTTGATGGTAGCCATTCTGACAGGTGTGAGATGATACCTCACTGTCATTTTGATTTGCATCTCACTCATGACTAGTGACTTTCACCATTTTTTTTCATATATCTCTTGGCTTTCTGTATATCCATTTGGAGAAGTGTCTATTTAGGTCATATGCCCATTTTTTAATTGGGTTGTTTGTGGTCCTTTTGTTAACTTGTATGAGTTTCCTATTTATTTTGGAGATTAACCCCTTATCAGATGTATCGTTGACAAATATGTTCTCCCATGTAATGCGCTCTCTTGTTGTGCTGATGGTTTCTTTTGTTGTGCAGAAGCGTTTTATTTTCATGTATTCCCATTTGTTTATTTTCACTGAGTTTCTATTGTCCTAAGAGATATATTGGTAAATATATTGCTATCAGAGACGTCTGAGATTTTAGAACCTATAATTTCTTCTAGGACTTTTATGGTTTCACATTTTACATTTAAGTCTTTTAATCATTTTGAGTTTATTATTGTGTATGGTACTTTCTTTTTTTACATGTACCTGTCCAATTTCCCCAACGTTTATTGAAGAGACTATCTTAACTCCATTGTATGCTCTTGCCTCCCTTGTCAAATATTGAGTGTAGTGGCTTGGTTCAATTTCTATGTTCTCTATTTTGTTCCATTGAACTATATGTGTATTCCCGTGCCACTACCAGGCTGTTTTGATTACAGTGGCTTTGTAGTATACCTTGATAACTGATATTGTGATTCCTTCAACTTTGTTCTTCTCTCTCAAGAATTATGCAGCTTGCCCTAACTGGTTTGGCTCGGTGGATAGAGCGTCAGCCTGCGGACTGAAGGGTCCCAGGTTCGATTCCGGCCAAGGGCATGTACCTTGGTTGTGGGCACATCCCCAGTGGGAGGTGTGCAGGAGGCGGCTGATCGGTGTTCCTCTCTCATTGATGTTTCTAGCTCTCTATCCCTCTCCTTTCCTCTCTGTGAAAAATCAATAAAATATATTAAAAAAAAATTATGCAGCTATTTGGGGTCTATTTTGGTTCAATGTAAATTTTTAGAGTTTTTGTTCTAGGTCTGTGAAATATACCTTTGGTATTTTAATAGGGATGGCACTGAATCTGTAGATTGCTTGGGGTAATAGGGACATTTTAATGATGTTGATTCTACAAATCCATGAATACAGTATATTTTTCCACTTGTTTATATCTCCCTCTACCTCTATTTTCAATGTCCTCTAGTTTTCAGAGCATAGGTCTTTTACCTCTTTAGTTGGGTTTATTCTTAAGTATCTTGATTTTTGTGTTGTTGTTGCAATGGTAAATGAGATTTTTTTTTTTTTTTTTTTTTTTTTTTTTAGTTTCTCTTTCTGAGAGTTCACTATGAGTGTATAAAAATGCCATGGATTTCTGGGTGCTAAGTTTGTATCCTGCTACATTTATGAGTTTACTTATTAAATCTAGATTTTTCATTGAGTCTTAAGAGTTTTTTATGTACAATATCATGTCTTCTGCAAATGAGAGTT